ATTAACAAAAAAAGTTCATCAATAAAATCTAACATTTGGGAAACAAATTCCCCGCTTTAACAACGCATAAAAACGCAACAATTATATAAGAAATTATATAAGAAAATATTTTGCGCTATTAAAGAAATTTGTTTCATCGGAGCACAGTTGTTGTATCCAAAAGTTAAGTTTTATTGTAAAGAATTGATGAATTTTTTGTTAATAACTTTTTAACAAATAACAACCGCCGGCTAAAACATTATTTTTTTATTACCCACGCAGCACGCGTGACAGTTTGATGACTGATAGTTTTTTTTAATCAACTTGAAGTCGATTTTAGTATTTTGATGTAAAATACTAAAAAATAATTACAAGATGGCTTTTTTCAGATCATTCGCAAAACGAAAAGATATTATGTTTATTAAAGACAGATTTGAAAAACAGTATATAATTTAATAAAAATATCTTACATTGTCTTTAATAATTTTGATTGTTTTTTTTTCAAAAAGATGTTCGTGAAAATATTTTTTTGCCTAACTGTAAATAATATTTTTGTTATAATATTTATAATATTTTGCTAATAAATTGTGATATCTCTCTCTCTCTCTCTCTCTCTTTCTCTCTCTGTGTGAAGTTGGCGAAGTATCGAGCAATTGAGCATGAAGGAAATAGATGATGCGACAACATTAAAAAGATTCAATTAACTTTTACAGTTAAGCATTTAACTAGAATAATTACAACAGCAGATTTGATATTCAGCAATATATATCCATGTTTCATCGATTGAAGAACTTTCAATTTCTTTTAATATTGTTACGATTATAGATGACATGATAAATATATTAATACTCGAAGGAAATCTAATATTAAGTTGGGATGAGATACTTAAATTAGGTTCTAAACTTAGGTAAATAACATTACAAAAATTCAGTTGTCCTCTCCTTTTCTTTTAATTATTTAATTTCTTAATTTTTTAAAAAACATAATAAGTTTATATAATAATTAAGAGAAACCTTTTTTATAACTTGATTTCTTGTAAAATGAAACAAAAATGTATAAAAAAGATGCCAAGCGGTCGCGTTTGTATGTGCACTACTTGAAGAAAAAAAATGATTTTCTATTCCACACACAAACCCACTATTACACACAAACCCATTTATTCCAAACTATCAAAATAATAATAATTTAAAGAAAAAATATGTGAAATTTTTAAATTGCGCCAATTATAAATAAAAAATACATTTTGAAACATCGTTGAAACACTAATGTTGTATAATTACTTTTAAGCAAAACTCAAGTGGTCCTAGTTTTTCTTCTTAAAAATAACAATCATTTTTAATTTCTTTTAGCTAATAAAATCAAAATGATAATATTTCTATTTTTTAATTAAATAAAAATGAAACTCAAGTACATCTCTAACTCATTTATCTGTAAGATCTATTTGACAGAAAAATATCAAATTATGAAGAAGAAACTCAACATTTTTAAAAAACAAGTAAAATTAAAGGAGCTTCGAGCCAATGTCAATTATGTAAATATATAGTCATTAAACAGACATTTCCACCTGCAACAAGATCATTTTCAATGTAGATTATTAATAAATTTGACAAAAATCATTCGCAAATTTGTAAAGCTGAGATATTATTATCGCAATTATCTCCTGATTGATATGTGTATTAATACGAATGCCGCAGTTAAGGTCTCTTCTCTTTTGTGATAATTTTTGTTGAATCTTTGAAAAAAATATCCTGGCGCCGCCAGATCCCATTAGAGCTTAACTATGTCTAATTGTAAAAGAGTATGTACTTCCTGTATAATGTTAACATCGCTGATATTGATGAGCCATTTTTCATATGACTCATTTAAATGTGATTCATGATATGACTGGAGTAATATCATTCATTTTGATTGGAATAATATCAAAATTCTTGACAATGAACTTTCATGTAATAAAAGATTAATTTTAGAAATGATACATATAGTACATAAAAAAACAGCACCATGGTTTAAACAAACAAAATTCTCAACATGCGAGGATTATGCACGTGTGTGTAAGATATTAATCTTAAACATCATTTTTATTAATCATAAAATATTTTACTAATCGAAAATTAATCAATCTATACAAAAATTATAACACTAGCATACTATAATTAGTTTCATATTATAATTTTTTAAAAATTAATAGATATCTCCATATCACTACGCTGCAGCACATAACAACATTTAATAGCAGGACATAGATCTGTGCCTTAAGCATGCGTAGCGAGCATCAACTGCGCTATTGGTTTCGATATTCAGAAGAGAGGAGGCTTTAACTGCGACCTTGGCATTCATATTAATATATATATCAATCATGTATATGTGATAATTGTGATAATAATATCTCAGCTTTTTAAATTTGCGAATTATTTGTCAAATTTATTAATTATCTACATTGAAAATGACTTCGTCGTAGGTGGAAATGTCTGTTAAATAACTATATTTACATAATTGACATTGGAAGGTAACTCCTTTAAGAGATTACATCACTTTGGAGGCTAAAAAAATAGAATTTTTTGCCTTAAATGATAGTTTATAGTCTTAAAAATAAGATTCTGAGTTAAAATTAATAATTGATATTTTTAAATCAAATTTCGAGCTAATTTAGTGAAGCGTATCTGTAGTATTGACGAGCGGCAACAATTCGAAGCAAAGGAATACCTAAATTTATAAGATAAATAGAAAATCATTCAGAACGAGCAAAAAAGAAGAAGATGAGGCAAACATTAATGTAGAAGATATTTTCAATTAAACACACGAAATATCACAAAACAATTTTAAACGCATTTTTCTTGAAACTACATTTTCAAATTGGCGTTGCGCGGATCTCAAAAACTGTTCATCCGATTTATCTGAAATTTGCACAGATTCTTCTTTTTTGTATAATCTAAAGAAATACGTATGGATTTTACATTAAAAATTTTTTTATAACTTTTTTTGACGAAATTTTTTGGCTGAAAATGGGATTTTTTTCAAATGTTTGTCATTTTCATAAAAATCATTACTTCGAAATATCCGTACGTATTTCTTCAATATCTATTATGTAAAAAATAAAAATTTTTGGTTTTTTGTTTCAGGTTCTGAGAGTCAGAGCCCCACTCAATAAACAGGCTGTGTGCAATTTCAGAACATTTACATAGCATAGGATATGTAAATGTTACAGAAGCATAACGAACTAAAAACGTAGCAGGTGTATCATTGACGTAAAGTGACTATAACTGTTATGTATTGTAACCGTATTGTCACTATTTCGATGTATAGTTAACATAATATTTATGTAATTTGAATAAATTTTCATTCTCTGAAAACTTTGTAAATGTTACGTAATTGTGATAATGTTACGTTATTTATATATAAATATGTGTATATTCCTGTCCTTTTCCGACTTTGTTACGCGAAATATAATTAAAACACATTTTGATTTGAAAATGACGTAACTATTGTAAAACAGTGGAACATCGTTCCGTAATGACTATGTAAATGTTACGGAACAGTGTTTATTGGGCACAATGCTAATTTAATAATCGCAGCAAAACAACATTCAGTACAACGATTCTAATATCACCATTTTGCATTAAAAAAAAGATAAAAAATATATAATTTTATAGCCAAAGACTTGTTCCATAAAAGCCTGAAAATAAATTTTTCATTATTTTCATTGTTTTCCTAAAAAAAATTCTCAAAGTTACTTATGATTTTTAGGCAGTCAAGCATAATCCTTATAATGATATAATCCTTATAATGATATAATCTTTAATTTTATTTGTTTAAAAAATAATATTTAGTCATTAACGTTAATCACCATTTTTTTATAAACAGGAAATTCAACCTTTTTCAAACAATATGGTTTTGAAAAAGTTATCAAGCTATTTGGAAGAACAGATACTTTTAAATTATATAAGCTTTAACACAAATAAAATTAAAATGTCATCCTTTAACTAACAGATATTATTTTTTTAAAGAAAATTAATAAATGTGTGAAAAATAGGAAACATAATATTTCTAGTCAAAAACAGTTATTGCAAAAGAAATAAAAATTTCCTTTATTATCACATGAAGTTTGAGCCCAGCCAGAGCACAACTTGCACTGATATCAATCTTCCTTACAGATAATCTATCGAACAGACATAGCAGTTATTGTCATTATGTTTTATTATTATTATGTTGTAACCAAATTTCGATATACAAATATATTTAATATACAAATATATTCCCTTCTTCCTTTCTTATTGCTTTTCAAGGATTTGTTTAGCCACATCTTTAGTGAAATTCAGAATGTTCATAATTACCAGTACATTTGTTTTATCCCTAAGACAAATCCTTTTACAAATTCCTTATTAACGCCACGCGATGATTGAAACCGAGTGAATGAAAATGTAGTGATCATCAGTATGATATATTTCAAAAAGTATTGATATATTAAAATTTCCTGAATTGTACCAAAAAAGTATAATTATACTGAAAAGAATATCCCTGAGTATGGAATAATGGAACCAGGCAAAGCGGCAATAAAAGAACTGACTTTTTCATTGCTCTCAATAGTTCTCTTTCATAACATTATGTGTAAAAAATCTAATCATAAAATACTGATAAACCAAAATAAACAAAAAAATTTGCAACTATGTTCTTATGTTGCATTCTTATGTAACATTCAATAAAAAAATACTTTTTTTAAAAGCTAATCGCAAATACATGAAAAAGACTTGAAAATTTAACTTAAGAAACTTATTTTTTATAACGATAATTTTGCATCTCTCATTACAGTGACGCCATAACGATGCCAAATGTTTATGGATGACGTAGTTTTAGTATATTATTATCAAATGAAAATATTTTAAAATTTTTGGCAATATTCAATTAGTTGAAATACGAAATGACTCTTTCTAAATATGTCTCTTTCATATCTATTCTCCCTTGACTGTGTATAAGGAATATAAATATGGCAATATGAAAGATTATATTATCTGCTTGTTACATACGCTTCTCAATGATGACAGTTTGGACAAAATTTCCTGTCCGCACCAGATATTAGAACTATCTTCATCCGTTTTTTTTGTGTGACTCATATCATTCCCTGACCGTGATTTCTCAGCATGATTCTCGATATTAATTTTCCCATTTTTGTCGATTCGCAAAGGCACAACGGAATTCAGACTGTCCATCGACAGATCGGCGTCATAATTCTCGGGTTTTGCCTTACGTCTTATAGTGCTTCGGCTCTTTGATTTTCCATTATTTGATTTCCGTCGGTCGGGGGACGGTGATCTAATAAAGATAAATTAATTTCATCTTATAATGATCAAGTAGCACGAAATCGTGCGTGATGCAATAATTGATTAAAAGAATTCCGTTCTAAAACTTATTTTGTCGCAAAAATATCGTTCCCTTCTCCCCTTACTTCAAAAATGATATAACTTATAAAAAATGTTATTTAATTTCAAGTTGTTATTTGCCATGAATGAGATTAAACATTACCCTATCAATTATCAAAAGTGAACAAATTTATAATATTGTATTACATATAATATACAAAAAATCGTCAAAATCGTTAAGATTCAACAAAGAGTGGTTTTTAAGGATTGTAAACACATTGTCAGGGCTCTAGTTTTTGATTGGAGACTCCAGTTTTGGGGATCAATCTCCGGTTGACGGGAAAAATCTCCGATAAATAATTTGAACTTTAGAACAAGACTAATGAGAGTCTAACGTTGAAGTAAAAGTGAAGAGTTAGGAGATGTAGATAATACTCAAGAGTTGGCGATTGTCTTCATTTATTATATCGAATGTTTAGGCTTACTTTGGAGTCATCTTCAGTGAAAAAGTAGAATATAATACCTCATTGAAAATAAGTCACTCGCAGATTGGCAGAAATGCAGTAATCAATACAGGTATATTACCATTATACAAATTATTACCATTTTATTGTTAGTTCAATAATTAAAAATCAGTAATAACGTGTGACTCACCTCAACGGTAAAACCAAAGACGGTCACAAACATTGATTCACAATTTTCATGAGATATAAATTAACACAAATCGTTCCTCGGATTAATATCGTGTCAGTTCATCTTGACATGTCGTTTGAAATTGAACGTTACAAAGTGATAAAGGGACTTATAAACAAACAATGACATTAAATAATAATAAGAGAGTCAACCGAGAACTATTTTAAATCTCAATATTGTTTTAACGTATCTAATAAGGAAGCATAAGATCATATCAATAGCAGTAACAAGAACTAATCAGTGATCACAAATCACTTGGTTTTAATCATGAATTTGGGAGAATGTCCAAATTCTTGATAAGGAAAGATTTCTCAATAAACGTTTAAATTCAGAAATGCTTCATACATGCAGAATGAACTTAATTTAAAAACAGACATAGAATGCTTGCATTATTCTTATGCTTCTTTATTAGACATGTTAAAATAATATTGAGATTTAAAATAGTTATCGGTTGACTCTCTTATTATTATTTATTGTTATTGCTTGTTTATAAGTCCCCTTATCACTTTGTAACGTTCAATTTCAAACGACACGTCAAGATGAACTGACACGATATTAATCCGAGGAACGATTTGTGTTAATTTATATCTCATGAAAATTGTGAATTAATTTTTTTATTGTGAATTTGTGACCGTCTTTGGTTTTCCCGTTGAGGTGAGTCACACAATTATTACTGATTTTTAATTATTGAATTAACAATAAAATGGTAATAATTTGTATAAGGGTAATATATTGATTACTGCATTTCTGCCAACCTGCGCGAGTGACTTATTTTCAACGAGATATTATATTCTACTTTTTCGCTGAAGATGACTCCAAAATGAGCCTAAACATTCGATATAATAAATGAAGACAACCGCCAACACTTGAGTATTATCTCCTAACTCTTCACTTTTACTTCAACGTTAGACTCTCATTAGTCTTGTTCTAAAGTTCGAATTATTGTTTTTAAGATTGAGAGTCCTTATTTATATTTTTATGTAATTGCTCTGATTTTTTGTTCGCGTACGATATTCACTAAATTCACTACCTAATCATGCTGCGCTTGTTTCTATGTTAAAAATGTTGTAGCGTTATATTTTTATGTTTTTTGTTTTCTTTTTTGCATTTTATAGTGCAATATTGAGTTATGTAGAAAGAAATATGGTTAAAGAATATTTATTTTAATAATAAGAAAATCTGTGATTATGTTTTCACTTTATGTTATAATAATATAAGAAAATATCTTATGTTCGCACTATGTAGGTTATTTTGGATTGTTGCTATTTGGATAAAAAATGTGCAACAATGTAATGTACGAATGAAATCCTGTATGTTTTTTTTTTGGAAAACAATTCTTTTTTTGGATCATAGCAATTGGTCAGCTTCCGGTTGAAATAGTAATCTCCAGCGCACGGACCTTCGAGGCTTGAAGTTTGACTCCGGACCAATGCTCGGGACCTGATAACCGTGGTTATGAAATGACATTTGGTCATGTTAAAAATAGTGTACAATAATTGACTACTTAAATACTGAAATTTAATACAATCACTGTAATCACTATTGAAATTATTTGAAATTTGAATTTGATGCAAAGCATTAAGTAAAGTTCAAAGAATATGTCAAATACAAAATCTTTAAGTGAGTTCATGTTTTTCATAAGATCATTTTTTTCTAACAGTAGAAACTTTTATTCAGAAAATGATAATTATTGACCGCAAGTTTTATTATTATTGTACAGAAAAATGACAGTGATTGATCATTGAAAACTATCAAAATGACAAAAATTCAGAAAATGAAAAGGAGATAAATTTAATGAAATTTCAAGTATAAGATATTGTTATTTTGATGTTTGTGGTTTATCTTTTTTCTAAATTTGAGCGTTGATTTAGGTCATATTTTCATTCAGCCCCTTACTTTTACGAACGGCATCTACGGCATTGTTAAGTACCTCTTGAGAGTATTTCATACAACTTACTTTAGGCATTTAAAAAAATTAAACCTACAATATTCTAACATATCAAAATAGAAATTTTATTTATGAGAAATAATTATCTAGTGAATAATATGTGAATTACAATGAATGGTCAATAATTGTAAAAAATAAACTTTCTCAATTACAGTTATTGACCATCCTTTTATTTTCGTAATTATTAGATGAATTAAAAAAATAAATATGTAAGAAATATAACCTTGTATTAGCGATATATGATGAACAAAAGTATCATTAATTGTTTCATAAAATTATAAATTACCTATACATACACTTAAATGAACTATTAAGTATTTCTTAATTGTGTACTACAGTTTTTGCGAGTTCAATTTACGGACTGTAAATTGAATATTTTGTTCGTATATGAAGTTAGTAAAGATCAGTTATTATTATCTTGTGAAATTAGCTGTTAGTTAGTGACTTGGATTTTAATATGTAGACAAATTCATAACAAATAGTCAATCATTGTATCGTAGTCAATCACTGTATACTTTATCCCATGATGCAAGTAGAGACTGAGCTGTGTTCCAACATTTACTGCCAATACTGAAAATCTATAGTGGACGTGACATAACTATAGATTTTCAGTACTGGCAGTAAATTTTCAGCTAGTTGGAATACATGGTGTGTTCTTCAGCATATTTATCTGCTGCAACGAATCAGAGCTCGACTTTTTTTTGCCATTTTTCGGCGGATTTTATTTCAATACACCTGTTACGTAAAACTCAGTTTCACATAATAAATAATCACTTATTTATAATAAATAATTATTTATTTATAATAATAATAATAATATTATAATAATAATATTATAATATTATAATTATTTATTTTTTTACTATTATTTATTATTTTCACTTAATATTTAATATATTTTTTAATTATTTTAAATCATATGACAATCGCGTGAATATATATGTTATAAAATAGCGGAAAATGAGGTCAGCGTGTTGCTATGTGCAAACTTGTCTTAGTTACGAGCACACCATGTCTACTTGCATCATGACTTTATCCTATATTCTTTTTACTGATATTATTTAATTATTTAATAATTTTCTGTCAAATTGAAAAAAAAGTTTTTCCTTCTTTCTTAAACTTAATTTTTTTTAGTTGTGTCACTTTTGAAGTAATAAAGAGTGATATATCTTCATTTATATTTATGAATTTCATTTCTCTACATTTCAATATCTTTTACCTTCTGCATTTGAAATTATGTATATCAATTCTCCTTAGATAATTTTAGAAACCCAAATAGCATACAGCGCTTACAAAGCATTAACAAAGTGCATATAATTGCATATAAGCATATAAATGCTTTTTTAGCCCTTTGCAAGCGCTGCTGTGCTACTTAGGTTTATTTAATTTTAGTCTTTTTTGAAATTCTTTTACCTAGATCCTTCATCGCTGGATTCGATTTGTCGTCTTCTTAATCGCAGTCGTCTTTGATAGTGCGGATCTTTCTCACTTTGTGTTCGATATCGTGTACCTGGACTAAGAGTATCTTTAATAATTATTACATTCGTGACACTTGTGCCAAACAAATAAGTTAGAATTGTATTTAATCCTCCGGATCTAATGAGGATCTATTGGACCCTCAATTATATTTCTGAAAATTTGTCTTAGAAATTTTTATAAATTGGGACATTTCAGAAATATTGAGAAATTCTACATTTTCTCCTAGAATTTTTCATATATACATATGAATTCTAAAATATTCGAAAATTTCTTTTTATAATTTCTGAACAATATTTTAAATTTTTTTAGATTTCATAAGATTTCATTTGAAAATATAGAATGAGAAATCTTAGTGTTGAAAACTAAATAAATCGGTTCAAATTTAGCACATGCCTGGAGAAGACGAGCGCTCGCGAGTTAATATCAGTGGCGCGACGGACGTGCTCGATTTATTATATTTAGCTCGAAGAGGGGGAAAAAAGTGTCGCGATGGCAAAACCAAAAAGTCATGTTTTATATACAATTTTTATTCATGACTCTCGATTAGTGCGGATGTGTTTTTGTACCTGCGCATTCGTGTTTCTTGAAAATTCGGCCTGCTTGTGCGCGCTTTCCATTTTAGTCTTTTTATCCTTTTTATTATCAATTTTCCTTCTTAATTAACTTATTTCATCTCAAATTGTGATTGTTTGTCCGATGATCAGTGACATACAAGAAGGCTCGCCCTCGGGTCAGCTTGCCCCCGATCCGGGCGCGAAACTGAAATCAGACACTATTCGTGCGTCAATCTCTCTTGAGAAACTAAATTTTTTTTCGAAAAGACTGGTAAACAATTTTCCTTGTCTAGAACGTCCTCGCCCATTAGGAAGAATACAGCTAATGTTTCGAAATTTATAAAATCGATACCTGTTGTCACCTTTGTCCATGATGATTAAGAAAAACAAAAAGAATCGTAAGGAACAGAAAAAGATGGCCGCTATCAATATAATTGATTCGGGCGCGAAGGCTTCTCCCAGTACGGCATTCGACCTCAATAAATCCTGTTTTTCCATTACAGAGGAGAGGGAAGGAGATATTGCGATTTCCCCTTTCAGATGTTTTATCAGTCTCAATGATGAAACTCTTAATGATGAACTCTTAAGTACAGGGGCGGGTAAATCTCACGAGTTACAAACATAAGGGAATTTGAAAGAGATAGCGGACTCTTCTCCCAGGGAAAGTGTCCGTTCAGGCACTCAAACGACCCCATGAATGAGATACGGATCCAGGAGGATCCTCTCACAAAATTAGTTACAACAACGTAATAAATAACTCATCTAATTCTGCGAATATTTACTACAAATACATTTCTTATAAAGAGAGTTCTTATTCAACAAGAATCTATCCGGTAAAATATTGTTCATGCATTAATATGTATAAATATGTATAAATATATACATAAATATTTATAAACATGTATAATCATATACATGTCCATACATGTTAATAGATCTCTTTTTTTTTTGTAAAATTTACTTTTTTGTAAAATGACTTTTTAGTATAATAGAAATAATAATAATAACGTTAAAAATAATTAAAGGGATAATTTTTGCATTGTTCGTTTCAGAAAAAAACAAGTTTGGAAAAATGTAAAAAAAATTGCTCACAATTATGCATAATTTTAGATATAATTATACATAAGTAATTTTTTTTACATTTCTTCAAACTTGATTTTTTTTTTAAAACAAATAGTATGAAAATTATCCTTTTAATTATTTTTAATATTTTCACATTACTATTATTATTTCTATTACACTAAAAAGTAATTTTACAAAAGAAAGAGAGATATATGAACATGTACGGATATATTTCATATATGATTTATATTATACATGTTTATGAATATTTATGTATGTTTATACATATTTATACATATTCATGCACAAAAAATTTTTTACCGGGTATCAACAGTAAAACATTTAAATTTTATTAGTCAGTCGTATTATTTCCAGTTCTGTAGGGAATCATATTATTGAGGTTAAGTCGGTCGATCGCAACAAGATTTCGGTCACTTTGAATGATCCAGTTAAGGCAAATAGTATTCTTAATCTGGTGGCTCTTAAATTATATAGCCTAAAAACAGGATTGGGTAAATTAATTATAGTTTTTTAAAATTAAATTAAAGTTAATGGCTTATAAAATTAATAAAATTAAGTTAAAAGTTGAAGGAATAAAATATTAATTTACAATAATAAAAGTTAAGACTGAATTAACTTAAGTTAATTTTGAAAAAAATTATTTTTGAGATAAGAATGTCCTAATTTTTCTTAAAATGATTTTTCTTAAAATGAGATTATTTTAAATAACACTTAAAATATAGATTATTAGATAAATTTAATTTTTTTATGTAAGTTACTTATATTAGGAGTGTGCATTAATTTTAAGGAATTTTTTGATAAAAATACGGCTTTATTGTGAAAAAATGATTACAAATTGACCATTCAAAATATTGTCTATCGCTAGCTACTTTTTCCCTTTTACATCTTTCTGGTAATAGGTGGATTCCACGTCGAAAAAACGACACATTTTTTCATTTTTGAAAACTATCCACGACCCATTTTTTGATATTTTCATAAGAATGGAAGCGCTGCTCAAACAAGCCATGAGTCATCGATCGAAATAAGTGGTAATCGAAAAGAGCAATATCTGGAGAATAACAACAATAATTGCATCAATTATTGTTGGTAGCGTTCCCCAGTGATGGTTTTATTGAGTTAGAGCAGCTCATAATACACTACATCCACTACACTGATCCTACCAAATACATAGCATGAGCTTAGCGCTATGAATATTCGGCTTTGCCGTCGATGTTAATAGTTTGCCTGGCCTGCATCATGATTTTTTGCGCTTCGGATTATCGTAGCGTATCCATTTTTCATCACCCGTCACGATACGATGCAAAAAATTTTTTCTTCTGTGTCTTTGAAGCAACAATTCATAGTCATTTTGAGCCTTTCGATATCCTTCGGCTTTAACTTGTACAGCACCCAATTTCCTTGCTTTTGAATCATTTCAATGGCCTTCAAACGTCTGGAAATTGTTGATCAATCAATATTTAATGATCTGCAAGTTCTTCTTGCGTTTGATTCGGGTCTTAATTGAATAAAGCTTCCACTTCCTCATCTTCAAACTTTTTTTGGCTGACCTGGACGTTTCTTGTCTTCCATGTCAAAATCACTTTTTTTATAGCGTCGAAAGTACCATCATGGTTGAAATCAATGGAATATAATCATCATAGCTTCCGACAGCATTTGTTAACTTTCAGCAGCACTTTTCATCAAATGGAAGCAAAAAAGCAAAGCTTCCCACAAATTATGTTTCGTTGACAAAATTCGACATATTCAATGCTCAAAAAAATATTGTTTACACTTCAAAATGACACATACTGAAAACTAAAACCACATGATGATGCTTTGAACATGAAAGTAGCAACAATATGGCCAGATGCGATAGTAATAGTTATGACATCTTTTGAAAATCTTTTAAAATTAATGCAGCACTCTCAATACATAATAATAGAGCGTTTTCTCTTGAGATATACTGAGTTTAACCTCGCATTACACCAGTTACGTGTAAGTGCTGTATCAGTGCTGCGTTACACAAATGTACATACATCATGGTGGTACACTACTTCATGCTTCGTGTTTAATTCTGCTGCCGGTTGACTTCCATTTTCAAATTTTTAATGTCACACTGGTTCTAGATCATCTTTTTGAGATCGTATAAACCCCACTTCGTGCATAAAATTTGCGCTACACTATATAGTCACGGAAACACGCTATACTGTCTGAGCGTTGCACTGGTGGGCGAGCCAAGAGAAAACGTTATAAGAATCACACTATAAGGCGTTTTTATCAAAATCTTGCGAGAGAGAAGATATGTATAATATTTGCATTATTCCTCTTTCTTTAACGTTTATCTAACTTTCTTTAACCGAAACTGCTTATACATGTTTACGACTGCATCGACTAGATATTTATTATAAAAAATATACATCAAAATTTAGAAAATGGATGGATGTGCAGAACTATTTTACAATAGTTCTTCATCTAAAGCTCATTTCATATTTATGTTGCTGAACTATAATGTTTATGACACCTAAAATTAGTGTGATTCAAATATAAGCGGGAATTCACAAAACCTAGCGAATCAATAAAAAACTGGCTATCGTATGGTGTGACTCTTATTATAGAGTTTTTAATCATAAAATCATTTTTAAAAATTAATTCTCTAATGTTTAAAATTTTATACAAAAAAATATTAGCATTAAGAGATAGAAAAATTTTTAATTTAAAAAAGTTAGGAAATTAAAGTTTAGAAGTAACTTAAGTAAATTAAGTTATTGTAAAAATTAAATGTTAAAATTAAACATTTAAAATTAACTAATTTAAGTTAAAAGTTAATTATTTTTTTAACTTTTTTTTAACTTTAATCGTTTTAACTAATACCCAACTCTGCCTAAAAGTCTTTATACATCACGTATAAAGATATATCAAAAGTCAATATCTTTATACATCATTTAGAGTCATGAGAATCGATGTTATAAAAAAATGTCCCTTTGGACATATGCGACGAATCATTATATAAAGAATTTTAGTCTCTATATAAAATTCTTTCGGCTCGTAGACTGTGCCACAAAGAGAAAATAGAGGGTAAAGATACTTTAATTCTTGTCTACATGATCCTCGCTAAATTTTAGAGTTAATTTTTACCCCACTCTATCTCTTTTGTGCATGTTTCCTTTCCAGTTCTTCCTTACATCTTCCTGTTTGAGACTTGGACATATTAACTCGGATTGCAAGAGCGTTCCGCGTTGCGCACGTTGTGGACAGGGGTTACACTCCAAGGTGGAGCTCTCACTTTCAGCTTTCCCCTATCTGCTGCAATTACGGCTGTGAACAGTTTCTATTCTCAGCAAAATGTCCGGCTTATATATTAAATAGAGATTTATCAGTACGCTGGAAAATGTGTCATACTCGGAGGCTCATTTCCTCTTC